TTAAATCATCAAATACACCATATCCATAATCAGCACAAATTGAACATAGTCCACCTAAGTCATCTCTATATTTATACCTACCATTTTGTAATTGAAGCATGAAGGTTGTCCTTGACATTACACCTGGGTATATTTCTGAGTATTTTTTCCAGAAAGATTGCTTCTGATCTTGTAAATATAATATTGGTAATTCAGATTTAGGATCAACTTTAAATGAGCTCATAGAAACATTGGCTTTATCAGAAAAAAAGGCATCAAATTGTGATTTTATCTCTTCTGTGATTCTAGATCTTTGGGTATAAACTGGTTTTTCTAAAGGCTTACATCCACACCCATAAATTTGTGCAGACTTTTTTGCATCTGATATAGAATTGGGTGAAACCTAATAAAATATATTTATATTAAACAGCTTATTATATATAAATAAGTTATTAGATGCTATTGAAAAATTTACCTCCAATTTTTTTTGTAATGTGTCATATGAAAAATCTTGTGCAATAATGGACAGTATTCTCTGCTTTCCATCTAACCCTCATTTATTTTCATCAAGGCTTTGCCTGAAACAACTCCAAAAGGTTTCATTACTATTGTAAGATGGATATGCACTTAAAAAACCAGATTTATATAAAAAATCAATATTATTTTTGTCAGGTTTAGGATCAATAGCTCTAGTCCAAAACCTATACTGAAATGAAAAAATGGTAATTTGTACATTAATTAATTAGCATGCTCATTTAGATAAAAATGATCATTTGAAATTATTTTAACTTACAGGTGAAATTTTATTACTGAAAAGAGTGATGTTTGTACAACCCACAGTTCTTAGCATTGCATTCCATGCTTGTAATTCACAATCACTAAACTTATGATTTAAGGGATACATTTTTTCTAAAGCTCTATCATACTAGAATTTTGTTTATGCCATTGATAAAAAAAATTATACCAGTTTATGTTTGCATTTGTTTTTTTTTTAGATAGTAACCAAATATTTTTTGCATTAAACCCACATCATCCCAATCATTTGGAGTACAAGCCAAAGTTTTCAACTCTTCCAGAATTACTGATGTTACATTATTATTTAAACCAGAAATTTTTTTCCTTCAGAATTCCTAGCCCTTTCCAAGCATCATTTGGATCATTTTTTTTAACTTCTTTAAGTTATTCATCTTCATGCCATATCTCAATTATAAATTTATCATTGATTATTTTTTGAATAAATATACACCATTTATTTGAA